AACGTCAACGTCAACGTCAACGTCAACGTCAACGTCAACGTCAACGTCAACGTCAACGTCAACGTTAAAATCAACAGCAACATCGAAATCAACATTAACATTAGTTACTCTGGGTTTTGCCACCTTTGATTGGTTTGAATCTGTAGTAGTAGAACTAGAACCTGAATCCAGGGAGTCGGATTTTCTATGTAATCCACCTGCATATTAAAGGTGTATAAAGCTGTAAGAAATCTATTGAATCGAGTTGTTATTCAAATTTTTTAGATAGGACAGGACGTTTTTAATGCTGGAATTCAGTCAATACAGAATACAATCATCATTTAAAACTTCCAATTTCTTCACTACATGTCATATTTATTGTAATGCATAGTTCTCTCAAATAATATTAAAATACATTGTTCGGGGGACAAGGAGGCCTCTTAGGCAAAACATTGCTTGTTGCTAATTGACAGGAAATACATGTCTATTCCCCTGACATCTCCAATTTGCAGAGTTGAACATTTTTCGGTCAATGCGTTCATTAAGCAGACGAGGTAATTCTAATTAAACTTTACAGAACTAAATACCTTTGCGTCCAGCCCTTGGAGGCACTGATGGAGGAGTGGATGGATTCATTGTTCTTCCTTCTCCAGGGATTGAAGAAGTAAAGGAGTCCTTTCTTACTTCTCTAGGTATTGGAGGAGTAGTGGACACCTTTCTTACTTCTCTAGGTATTGGAGGAGTAGAGGAGACCTTCCTTTCTTCTCTAGGTATTGGAGGAGTAGAGGAGTCCTTCTTTTCTTCTCTAGGTATTGAAGGAGTAGTGGAGTCTCTATCCTGAGCTATAATCGGGGAACCTCGCTCAATCCAAACATTCTCATACATTGTTTGCTTAGGCTTAGAAGCTGATGGAGGACTGGAGGCAGGTAGTGGAGGAGGCGAGGGAGTAGAGGGAGGAAGAGTAGGTGGGGCAGAGGTCGGAGATGGGATGTTTACATTTGATCCAGGAGAACTACATTTCCCTCGAACTGGAAGAGTTACATAAAGGTTGTCTTCGCTTGTCTTTTCAGCTTTCTTTTTCATTTCAGATTTTAGTTCATCTATGTCGTCATTTGAGTCATCTTTATTTTGCTTTCGTTTAGATGTTATGCTAAAGAGATCTTTTGCACTCCTTGACTGTTGATCTTTTTTCAATACTTCTCCTGAAGCACAATCAAAACTTCTTGGTGGTTTGGGAGGTCCAAAGTTAATTTTTTTGGGGGAACCTATGGGAAATTTGGTTTTGGGGGAAAAGCTCTTTTTGGGACTATAATTTTTATCTTTATATTTTGCTTCAGCTGCTTTAGCTTCAGCAGGTTCTAAACCGTCTGAATTAGATCGAGACCTAGCATCAGTTTCCAATGCTGAATTGTTGTCAATAGATTTGAAGTTAGCAGTATCCTCTGTATCAGGGTTTTCATCAGGTTCAGTTAAGTCATCTCCGAAGCAGGGATCAAAATCTCTATAGGTAAATTTAGTCTTTAAGCGATTACATTTTTTTCTTTCAACGCTGTTGAAAATCAGAATAATCTGAATAGAACTCTATAGCTACCATGAAAAGGGGGAGGGGGGGAAGAGGAAGTCAGTGATAAAATTATCTATTTATATTGCAAAAACTCCAAATGAAACAATTTCATTTCTCAAATGTCAGAAAATTATTATGATAGATGTGCTAGACACTAGTTAAAACAGAAAAGAAATACTTAATCCTTTAAATTATCTCTGTAACCCCCTGGCAAATGCGCCAAATTTGCTGCAAACATTTAAATGATTTACTAACTATCTACCATAGAATTTCATAGTTTAATATATTAAGATTGTTGTTAACTAATGCAATTGAGCAGTTTCAACAGTATCTAATTGTTAAGATTAGATAAGTATAAAATTTGAAAAAAATACCAAAATTGTTATTAATTATTTTTTAAGTTTTTAACATTTAAGTTTTAAGATACCCCTTCCCCCTGTATCTGTGACCTAAATGAGATTTTAAGAAATTTCCAAAATGATAATTTAAAGCTAAATTTTCCTAAGGAGTTGGTTTGAAGGTGGAGGAACTATTCTATCCCCGTCTATTTTACCAGTTGTTGCCAGGAATACATATTCATAATTTGACTTTTTCACAGGACTTGGCTTCTTCATATCATTCTAGAAAAGTAAATAAATAAATGTAAAAAACTGAATTAGTTATTCTTCACACATTTCTGTTGATCGGACCTCCCGGTGTTTAAATAGTTTTTATTTTATATTTTGAAACTTTTAAGTATTGTTATAGAGGTGTTTTGTTTACTGGGTGTTTCAAAATAGAATAACTATATATTTACTATTAGCGAGGATTTATCTGGGAGAACTGCAAACTTTACCGGGAATTTACTTTATCTAAAGTCGATAAAACACGATGAAAAGTCAGCTTCCGAAGAAAATTCTCGCTACGAGTAAATATGTAGTTTTATCCATTCTTTAGGCAACATTATTAACCGATTAGACTTTTCAATATTGATTATTATTAAACTGTGTTATTTATAATAACATTAAAATATTTTTTTAATTAAACCTTTTCTAGATGCTGAATATCAAGGGATAAATCCCTCTCTACTTCTTCAACTGCCTCCTCGTACCACTTGTGTACTGTCGTTCTAAACATTTAGAACTTTTTTAGGTCTTTTGATTTGGATAAATTAGGATAAATGCAACGAGATAGACTCTTAAAATCAAGGAAAGGTAAGGTCAATAGGAGGATTTTACTCAAAACACTCAAAATTCTGTAATTTAGAATAAACTCAGTTTCGATGGGTGTTCAAATAAATAAACACACACAACCAAAACTGGACTTGAACTCCTTGAACCAAATATATAAGTCTTAGACGCAGTCCAGAGTTATAGCTACAGCATCAAGGTTGCGCAATGAACGTATTATAAAATAAAATGGAGCTATGTAAATTCTCATTATTTTTGAATATTCATCAAAAAATATGTCATGTCAAAAATGTAAATTCACGGGCAGCCGTAGTACATTTGAATTTCCGAGCCGGGTCAACCTTTCCGGCCCCAAGTTTCGATGGGTGTTCAAATAAATAAACACACACAACCGAAACTGGACTTGAACTCCTTGAACCAAATATAAGTCTTAGTCGCAGTCCAGAGTTATAGTTACAGCAAGGTTGCGCAATGCACGTATTATAAAATAAAACGGAGCATTGTAAATTCTCATTATTTTTTAATATTCATCAAAAAATATGTCATGTCAAAACTGTAAATCATTGTTTTGACATAAGCACAATCAAAGTTAATATTCAGACCGCTGAACCAGTTTTTACCAACCAAAACCGAGCTCATTCTTATAGAATTCTGTATTATGCAGTAAATGAACTATGAATTCTACTCCATTTGCTTAAAATAAAACCCAACCTGATGTCAATAGTTTTGGAGGATTTTGGTCTTGCACCCAGATCCACTTTATCATCCGCCAGTCCTTTAGAATACCCGCAGCTGGGCTCTCGTAGCAATCTACACAAAATCAGGGTTCAAAAATAATTTAAATTTGCTTTATTTGAGAATAACAAAAGGGGAATAGTATGAATCTGAATTAAATCGCCATTGTTTAATATTTTTTTTTCAAATCTATGTTTTTTAAAACAAAGAAGCTGAATTTAAGTTTATACTTTCCATAAAAAGGTGCAAAATATGATATAAATAGAAGTGCTTATAATACCTCGGAATCTTNTGAATTAAATCGCCATTGTTTAATATTTTTTTTTCAAATCTATGTTTTTTAAAACAAAGAAGCTGAATTTAAGTTTATACTTTCCATAAAAAGGTGCAAAATATGATAAAAATAAGTTCCTTATCATACCTCGGAATCTTTTTATTTAACTTAGGTATCGATTATCTAACCAAAATATTATGGGAGATGGAACATTTGACAGACAGGACATTTCATAGACATGCCATTACATAGATAGGACATTTCTTAGACATGAAATTTCATTGACAGAGAAAATTGTTCTTCTTCAACGAAATCTTATTTAATAAATCATGTATCCTGTTCTTTCGATGATCTCGCTTATTTTTACTTCACTATATTATTTATAACTGCGTTTTAATCATCAGTTATGGATTTTATTTAACTGATCAAATTTTCTATAATTGTGACACATTTTTTAACAAAATTCTTTTTTTCTGCACTATAAAATGCTTCCCACACCAGTACATAAATGAAACTTTAATATGTAAACTTATTAATTCTTCATATGTTTCTTGTTGCAAATGATTAAATTATACCTATCGAATAGTGTCTGCTCGTCGTTTACAAAAACAGATCTTCCGGGAACCGAACATTCACTGTACACATTCTCCTCTACTTCCGGTCTACATTCTACTTCCGGTTTTAGGATCGAGTTTCGTGGTGGTGGTTCCGGTGCAAGTGTGCAAGTATTTTTTTCTAACTTTTGGCGGATTTCGTCAATATTTTCATAAACTTCATCATCTGCCTCAGAGTTGGTCTCAGAATAGGTTGGAATTCGTTCACTGTAAAAATGTCAACTACGATTATTTCACTGTATTTATAAATATTCTTACAAAATATTTGGCATGTGACTAACTGCTAATATTCCTGATATGAAGTAAAGATATTAAAAGATAAGAATTTATTTTTAAAAAATTCTAAAATTTGTTGACTAACCCGATATTGAGAGAAGATATGTTGGACTCTAAACTATTCATATTCCGACTCTAATAAATAAAATTATTTTATTTATCGAATAAAGACCAAGGGCGACACTAGTGTGGTCAACATTAACAGGGCAAAAACAGGGTAAAAATTAAATTTTTATATTTTAACTGTTGTAGTTTGCATTAGGTGTACAGTTTTTCTTCATCATATTATTTATCTTATATAAATTAGGCAAAACTGATTTTGAATCTTAAATCAAATCAAAGCTTAAAAATTTTACTTCATAAGCATATTCATATCTTTTTCACACAGGTCTGTCGCTTTAAAAATTGTAAATTTGCTGTACAGTCCAAACTAGGACCGCAAAGGTTGGCCCAGACCGGATATTCAAATGTACACCAGTTGTGGGTGTTTTCAGTCATAAATTTTACTTGTACATTGATTGCATTAGTAAATGATCTCAATTTAGAAAAAATAAAGAACTGATAAAGAATAATTGCTTGAATTAACTTTAAAGATTAGAGTTTCATTTTCACCCCTAATATAAATAAACATTAAACTACATTATATATAGAGCAGTAGAGAGAAAAAAAAAAATAGGTTTTCCATTATTGTTTCGATAAAATGCATGATAATCATGTTCATTGTTCATCATGTTCATCGTGTTCATCATGTTCATCATGTTCATCATGTTCATCATGTTCATCATGTTCATCATGCTCATCATGCTCATCATGCTCATCATGCTCATCATGCTCATCATGTTCATCATGTTCATCATGTTTATCATATTCATGTTCATCATGTTCATGTTTAATATGTTCATCATGTTCATATTCATATTAATCATATCAATTTCATTATTTTTATTATTTTCATGTTTTGAATTTACCTGCAAGCTTGTAGAATCCTCACAATTCCGTTCTTCTGATATCAGATTATATTGATTATTAAACTTATTATAATACTTTCATTCAACTAAATATTCCACAACATGCTTCCCATTAATTTAACTATTCAGTATATACCCCCCCCTTCCTTGCTTTTACAACATATTAACAAATATCCCTAACAGGGGGGGAGGGATGTATGAATTTATATGTAAAAAAATTGTAATGAACTCTTTATTCCTTTAAATTCTATTATTCAATATTTGCGCCCAATTTCATCCCCCCTCTCCATGTGATTTTAAGATAGTTGCGCCCAATTTCATCCCCCCTCTCCATGTGATTTTAAGATATTTGCGCCCAATTTCATCCCCCCTCCTCATGTGATTCGGACGGCTGCTGCACTGAATTAATTCATGGTCCTTGTTATGAATTTATTACCCACTCTTCCTAGAAGCCCCCCCCCCTCCTCATCATAGCTCAACCCCCCTTTATCTTAACCCTATCCTCAATGTTTGGTATTTAACCCTTGTCCAGCTGGACACCTGGAGAGCCTAGATGAGATAAGGACACCCCGCCCCCTCCTCACACCTTTATCCTTTTGTTTAAACCTAGTAACAAGTAAATATTCACCACAGGGGGCAAGACCATTGCCCCAGGGCGAATTGAAACGCCTCGGGGTAGGCACAGGTAGCCGGGGGGCAAAACTGACTCGCCTAGGGGCGGGATTTGAAGCTCCAGGATACAGGGTTAAGTGAGGTTGACATAAGTCAACGTTTAGTGACAGAGTATAAATCTAGATTCAGAGATAATACTCTNATTTCTCATAAACTTGAACAACAATCCATCTACTTTATAATATGGCAGTTCAGAGGATTAAAAATAGGACCAGTGACCAATGACGTATTTATGACGTAGATTTTTTTGGCGCCAAAAAGGATTTTTTTTATATAAACATACCTGATGCTCAACTATATTTATAAAACAACTAATGATACGGACTTTCCCTTTTATAATGGCGGGTTACTTTCTTTTCCTCAAAATTTTTAAGGAGCAAAGAAGCAAGCACCCAGGCACCTGAAATATTGACACTGATTTGTAAAGAAAATATAATCTATTCCTGAAGTACTGAGAGGTGATGAAAAACTAATATTAGAGAAAACATCATAAACCATATCCGCTGGGTTCACCACGTGTATAACAGGCTTACTGAAGTTAGAACTCAGAGAAACCTAAATATTATTTTTTTATTTTTTACATTCTTGTTAGTCAGTGTTCATAAAGTAGACAGACATAAGGCTCTTGGTCAGAGTCCGGCTCTTGGTTGTAACTAAACAGATCAAAGCACACTGCTTAGTGCTTAGGATTATTCCACTATGACTTGGATCCGGTTTATAAAAAATGGATATTTTTTCAAGCGTTACTCATTTTTTTAAATTTACCTTAAAAAGATCTGGAAGGTTTTTTTAATAATTTTTCTTTTATTTCATAAAAAAATACTTTTTTAATATATTTAATTATTAATTGCAAACACATGAATCCGGATCCGTGGAACTGTATATTTTTGTGGATCAAGAAGCAGGGAGCTAAACTGTCTTGATCCAAAGTACTGACAAAAATTAAAGTACTTAACTTGATCCCTGCTGTACAGTACTGTACTATACTTGATCCCTGCTGTACAGTACTGTACTCTACTTGATCCCTCCTGTACAGTACTGTACTATACTTGATCCCTGCTGTACAGTACTGTACTCTACTTGATCCCTGCTGTTCAGTACTGTACTCAAGATAGAAAA